AACAAAGCAGGAGAAACAAAGTAAAAGAACGAAAGCTGACAAGGACAGATGGTGTTGTTACTTCTGGTACATCCAGAAGAAACTGTCTAATAAATGATTAAGAACCCAGGAGAGAGAAATCTAAGGCAAAAAAATATAAAATTGGGAGGTATTAACCAGGAGAAACTAGCTAGGGAAACTGCAAAAGAACAAGACCACCCATATTTAAACTACAGACAGACAAATAAATGAAAAGTAGGCAACAGTGGTGACACAGAAGTTTGGGAAGGACAGAGTTTCATGAAAAGTGAATTGTTGATATAGTGAATGTATCAAAAGGTGAACTTTAAACCTCTTGGATTTGACAACTAAGTAACTGAGGACAGACAGTAAGGTTGCAGAGGTAAAGGATGGTAAAGAAAGCCAAACTAGCACTTTCTGTGGCACAGAGAATGAGAATCAGTCTGCGGACACAGGGGACACAGGTTCGACCTCTGGTCCGGGAGGATTCCACAAACAGAGCAATTAAGCCCACGAGATGCAATTACTGAGCCTGTGCGCTGCAACTACTGAAGCCCACAGGCCCTAGAACCAGTGTTCCACAAGAGCAGCCACTGCAATGAGTAACCCCTGATCACTGCAACCAGAAAAAGATGCCGTAGCAGCAAAGACCTAGCACAGTCAAAAATACATAAATAATTTTTTTTTAAGTTTACAAATAATAAATGCTGAAGAGGGTGTGAAGCAAAAAAAAGAAAAAAAGCTAAAGTAGATGGGGGTTGAGTGAATGGTAGGGGAGGAAGGAGACATTAATCTTGGCTGAGAAGGAGTAACAGCCAGAGAACAGAGTTAAATAACATTTTCAGGATGGCAGAGATTTTAGCATTTTTATAGGATTAGATGGAAAAGGAAATGGCAACGCATTCAGTCTTCTTGCCTGAGAAATCCCAAGGACAGAAAAGCCTAGCGGGCTACAGTTAATGGGGTCGCAAAAGAGATGGACACAATTTGGCGACTAAGCAGCAGCAAAGGATTAGAAAGGGACCCGTGAAGGGTGAGATTTTTAAATTATGGCTTTGTACTTACGCTTAATATACAGAAAGTTAACCAAGATACAATACTAAGTGAAAAAATAAGCTGAAGAATATGTATAGTATGATGTCACCTCTATGGCCTTCAACTTACTATCATTACTCTCATGTGAGCAACTATCACTAACAGAAACTCATTTGTTTACGTGTCCATCTCCCCAACCCCCCAGAATGTAAACACTATGAGAGGAGAGATTTCATCGGCCTCGTTCTCCACATATCCCTACAGCTTAAAATATTGCTTGGCACATAATAGGCACTCTACTGTTCAATGAAAATGTCTGTGTGCACACACTCATGTATATATGTATGAATATATTGATATTTACATTCAAAGCATTAAGAAAGTTCTAATTTATTATTTGAACTTATGCCAGGGTTGAGTGTGAGACTAGGGGGTGAGGCATACAATACTGATTCATTTTTTACTTCATAGATGTCTGTTCAAATTTTCTACGAAAATCATGTCTCTTGTAACTGAAAAACAACTTTAAATAATGATTGTATGAGCCTAAGAAAGTTAATCTATTCTGCCTTTCTATTTTCTTTTAGTGTGTTGTCATGATCTAATGTTGACTTCAAGCTGATCCTTGAGTTGTTTTGGTAAGGCAGTTCAAAGTCAGAATCTTAAAACTTAGAGTTGGAAAGAACATAGACATTACCTAAGGCAACCCCCGAATTTTACAGATGAGAAAGCAGAGACTCATAGTAACTTAATTACTAAAACTAGTGTACTGATAAGAAGTTTTTAAAGATCAAATGATTATAAACTATTTAAAGGGCTAATCTACTATATGTTATACCTAATTTAAAAGATAACTAATAAAAGCTTGCTAAAGCTTACTCTCACATTTAACTTACAATCTTCTGGTAAAATTATTACTCAAAGTAAATGATTTCCTTAAGCACACTGGTTGATCAACAAAACCTAAAGTTAAGCACTGACTAACCATTATACTGTGACAAAGGATTCAGAATACATAAATATAGGGAGTGAAGTTATTCACCGTTAGGTGTGCACACTAACTGAACTAACAGGCACCTTCTTTCTACCAGGATATATAGTAGGTCAAGTATATAATACATTTAAGGGATTCATCACATTTTGACTCAAATTTCTATATCAATATCTGCAACATGTACTTAACAGAACTCAATAAAAATTAAATGCTGAATAGGCAAAAAATACTCTAGTAAATACAAAAAAATGACAACCATTTCTCCTCACATATATACTGTAGTTCACCAGGAATACAACTGCAGTCCAAACTTCTGAATATCACTTTACATTTGTTTACAAACTATGTCATTTGATCCTCACAACTGTGACAGACAGCAGAAATTGTTTCTCCCATTTAATATATAAGAAAACGAGGCTCAGAGCTTAACTTGATTAAGGTCATTTTGACAAGTCCTAAGACCTGGATTCTCTCTTAGCCACAGTTCTTTCCATCCCCCAGGCTACCTTACATTTACCATTTATTAAAGTGCAAACCACTTTATAATTTCCTTCCTTCCACACTGGCGAAAGTGATTGAGGGTTACCTAAGCCCTAGCAATCCTATCCCTTTCTAGTCCATTTAAAATTTTCATGCCTAAGAAAATATTAGTCATTCATCTTAACAGTGACAAGATGTGTAAGTCACCTTAGTACAGAACTGTGCACCTTTCATACAGTAATTCTGTATGAAATCCTACCAAGTATTCAATTATTTTCTTAATTCTAATAAAAGTATCCTCTAATTTAGAAAGCTCTCTACAAATAATACCAAAAGTAGGATGGGCTTAATAGTTGGAAAAAAATCTGAAACCAAATCTTAGTCCTATCACTCACTAGCTGTTTAACTGTGGGTACATTTCTTAGTGTCTTTGAGTCTCACTGTCCTCACCTATAAAGTGAGGATGACACCATCTGCCTCTGTGAGTTTGCTGGGCAGATTCAGCAATAATACTTGCAAAGCCTTTATTTCTTAAAAAAGGGCCAGTTCACAGAACAGACCAGTTCCACTGGAGAAACAAGCATGCAGATAGGTACTGCTCATAGGTAATGTCATTTATGTGAATTTTACTAGTGTAACTTCTAGATATGAGACTTTATCTCTTGTCTCGCTCTGTAATACCTGGGGTAGGACACTATATATATATATCTCAGTCTTGCTCCCAGGGCACCATAACGTGAGTGCTGGATTTCAGTCCTCTTCTAATCCCTCTATAGTTAAGGACTATCATAATCTATTATTTGACTATCTTAGAATTGGCTATATCCAAACCGAGGCTTACTCTATTTTCACTCCACTCTGCTGAGTGCATCTTTTGACTATTTCGAAATAAAACTAATTATTTTGAACTAGGAAGTCAATTTTATAAATACAAACCATGACAGTGAATTCATGTTGAGTGAAAAGGGTAGAAAGTTTCAGGGGGCGGGGTACAGGGGAGAGGGACCTAACACCGAGAACTTACCTATTCAGCAGTACATCTTTCCAAATGTCATAAATGTTACATTTTGTAGTATTAAGTATATGTGTAGATATCTCTAATTTCTTTAAAGTACATCTTACTAAATTTACTTTCTTCTAATCTTCCCAGGCATCACTCTAATCAGGATTAACATCAGTTTACAGATTATGTCAGGGAAGCTCACTCCAGTTCACTCCCCCTTGCTCAAAGCACTGTAACTACAGGAAGGCTCGTGCTCATTCAGGCCTTCCCTCCCCTTGTAACCTCTGCCCAGAATGCTCTCCTGTCTAGCACAGGGCTGCCGTCTTGCCCTGCTTCAGGCCTCACTTCACATAGTTCCCACCATGACCGCGTCTACGGCGGCGGCGGCGTAGTCACTAACTGTGTCCGACTCTTGCGACCCCGTGGACCGTAGCCCGCCAGGCTCCTCCGTCCATGGATTCTCCAGGCAAGAACACACTGGAGTGGGTTGCCATTCCCTTCTCCAGGGGATCCTCCTGACCCAGGGATCGAACCCAGGTCTCCTGCACTGCAGGCAGATGATGTACCAACCGAGCTATGAGGGAAGCCCTACATAGCAGAGTACACCGATGACACCATCCTGACATCCTTCATAGAACATAAAGTCATCAGTATTCACCTTCTTCCTGTACTGAAGGGCAGGGACACCTTGACTTCCCACTGCTGTATCCCGAGTGCTCAGTACAGATGATGCTGGCTTAATGAATGAGTGACCGCGACTGCCCACAGCCATTCAGCCAAGTAAAAGGCAGGGCCTGGAGGCCAATCCAAATCAACGTGACTGCAAACCCCTGCACTGCCATGCCACTACTTTTTTCCACTGGTGGAAGTGGAGCTGCTCTGGGTTGGGAGATCAATCAGTTTAGAAGCTTGCCTTCTGACTTGCTGCATTCATTCACTTGAAAGAAATTAGAGATATCTACACATATACTTAATACTACAAAATATAACACTGAAATATTACAAAATATTTAACTGCAGTTTCACGAGATCTTACACTGCCTTTTAGAACTCAATTTGAAAAAACAAAAAAATCCACTGCCTTTACTATGCCTGAACAATCAAAATAAATTCAAATTTTAGGTAGCTGGACTGGCATCTCCACATATGGTTACTACTTAAGGACAAAAGAAAATTTAAGTCACACATTTTAAATGCTCTTTACTAACAGGCTTGCTTATAATATTTTGCTCTTTTAGATGATGTTTTGAATTACCCAATACCTCATACAGAAAAATCTTAAAACCAGCCACGGGGTTATCATTCTTATCACGATAACCATATTCTTTCTTAAAGAAAGATGACACAAATGCCCTCAATGTGTTGTGTTGCACTATTAAACCGTGTGCTTGCAGGCTGAAGTCAGCCCGGGTAAAATGCCCAGTGCGGCTAGAACCGGCCACTAACAGCACTCCCTTTGTTGCCTCCACCACGGGGTTGAATACTTACTGCCGAGTCCTCCATCCTCGGATACTCCCGTCCCTCTCATGCCTAGGTATGTCAGTCCCAAAATGAGGAAAAACAGGCAGGCAGCAGTTAAGAGAAACATGGACAAATAGTGGGCACTGAAACCCCCCGTTGGGGACACCTCCTCCCGCTTAAACTGTTGGAGAAGTTCCTCCTCGGGTTCGGAAAGCTTCGGTTTGTTGTACGTGTTCTTCAGGTAGGTGTGATTGGAGCCTGTATGGTTGGAGTGATTGATCCTGAGTGAACTCGACGCGGCCAGCGCCGCGCTGGGAGGGAGGCTGTTGGAAAAAATCCTGGGGGAGTCCACGCCGAAGGCCCCGCCGCCGATATGATTATTGGTTTTAAGAAGGGAGCCTGTGGACGAATCCAGGGTTGAGTCCATGTCCGCGAGTGGCGGCGGCAGGAGAGGGCTTAGTTTCTTAGCGTTACCGCGGTATCTAGGAACGGGGCTGGAGTCCAGCGGATCACACCCTCCTCCCTGCTCCGCCGCCGCCGCCGCCGACTCCTCGAGGTTTCGGCTCCTGTCTAGACTCCCGGCGGCCGCCGCCCTGTCATTCATCGCGATTCCTCCCCCTCCCTGAACCGAGGTCTCCAGCCGGCTGCCGGCCGATTTCGCAGGCAGGGGTGAGAGAGGCTTACTGTGGCCCCGCCTGGGCCGATGCCGAGAAAGGGTGTCGTCCTTCAATACCTGTCTGCTGGGGGCCACGTCGTCGTCCCCCTCTTCCTCCGAGTCCGAATAGTTTTCCCGGCAGCTGTAGGGCAGAAGCCGGCTGCCATTCACGGTCCGGCCGGACCACAGCGGCTCCTCGGCCTCCGGGTCCCTGTCCTCGCCGTCTTCCCTCTCCCGCTCCTCGTCGTCCGCCGCCCCATCTCTCCCCGACGGGCTCTGCAGCTCGGGGGCCGCCGGCCTCCTGGCCCCCCACCACGAGTGGGGCTTCCTCCGCTCGGCCGAGTTGCTGTTAGTCACCTCGCTGGCGGCCAGGGGCGCCGACGGCGGTTTGAGCCCGCGATACTGGAGCGGAGCCCGGTCTTTCCTCCCGCTGCCGCCGCCGCCGGCCTGGTCCCGGGGACTGGCCTCCACGTCCGACTCGTCCGAGCTGAAGCCCAGCAGTACTTTGCTGCCAGCCGTAGGGGTGGCCGAGGCGCCCCCAGGCCCTCCCAAGGGGGTCTCCGGACCCGAAGCCGAAATCCGGCCCAGGCCCCCAGGAGTCCGTAAGTAGGTGAGGTCGCCGGAGACCGGCCGGACCCCCATCCCCACGGCCGCCGCCGCTGGTCCGGCGGCGGCGACCGTGGCGGCTGCCGTGTTATTGTTATTACTGTTCCGCGTCTTGGTGCCGCGGCCCCCGGACCGGTGCTGCTGCTGCTCTTCCTCTCGAAGCTTCTTCAGCTTCTTGAGGTAGACCGGGCGGGTGCTCTCCGTCACTGGGCCAGGAGATAGGCCGTAACGGCGGAGCTGAGAGAAAAGCTCCTCATCTGAGAGCTGCTGAGGCGCCGAAGCCGCTGCCGCCGCCATTTTCTCTCCAGGGTGTTTTACAAGCTCCGCGCTACCGGAAGTGACGCGCCGCCCTAGACCCTGAACTAGACCGGGCTGCGTCGCCCTCCCAGCGCCACGGGCGCCTTGGCCAATGGGAGGCACGGGAGGAGCTCACCTGAGCGGGAAAGGGCCACCTGAGCCGCGCGCCGCTTCAGCGGCCGAAAGTTTTTCTGCGCTTTCCTGTCGGGGTGTCTCCTCCGTCTGTTCTCCGCCCTGCCCTTCTCAGCTCCTTTCCCGGGAGTTGCCTCTTGCCAAGCCTCACCTTGACCTCTTCTTTGCAGGTTCCTGCCACTGGGCAGTAATAACTGAAGGGAAATCTGACTTGAAGTTCTTGGTATTAGTTTCCTTTTCATCCAGATTCCCGCTGCCAAGGGGAGCCTAGAGACTTAGAGAAATCTTGATGGCCAGGTGATTGGCAAATTTCTCTGAGCCCTGGTTCTCTCTTTTCACTTTGTCTTTCCTCTTGACTCACAAAAAAAAAAAAAAAAAAGTGAGACTCTTATACAGAGTAAACCAGCCCCAATACAGTTTTCTTCAAGAGTAATGCTTATTGATTCCCGAGTTAGTTATAAGGTGTCATCATTTTTCCCCTTAGAAAATCTGATAACCTTGATAGGTCGTCATTTGGGGAACTGAAAGAGCCAATCACATTATATGACTGAAAAAACAAAAACGCGCCATCTTATTTTCTTCTTCTAACCTTTCTAACCTATAGTTATTTGTTTATTATTAGTGATTATTTTTATGCACTTGTCTTCCTATTTATTGTCTTACGCCTTTGAACTGTAGGCTTTATGAGCGGAGGAACCCTGCTTCACCCCTTTAGTGCCTGACACTAGAAATTCAGTAAACGTTTGTCAAACTAATTTAATTCATTGCAAAGCTAAGACAGTGTGAGACGAATATTTAGAGAAGAAACCTTCATATACAGTCAAAAAATGGAATCAGTTAAGACCTGGATATCCAACACCCTCATTTACAGAATAGGAAATGAATCTCAGAGAAATGAGATTTGCCCTGTTTGGCAAAGAACATTTCCCTTTTCCTCTAACCCAGGCAGATTGACACTTCTTGAATACTCAAACCCTAGCAGCTATGTGGCAGCATCTACCACAGTATCTGACACACCATGAAATCTTCGTCAAATGAATTATTTTGCCCTATTACATTATACACATCTGAATAGGAAAATATGTTAGTCAAAAGTATAAATACTAGCTTTTCGACATCCTGAATCCAACAGCAGAATAATACTCAGTAATCTGAATTTTTTACTTTTGCCATCCCCTCAAAAATACTCTCACGTGGACAGGCACTTCTGAGTCATTCATCAGAGGACTTTAAAATCCATAAATGTTCCTGAATTCTATGACTGTTAAGTACTTTAAGGAGGGTTTGACATAGAAAAGTTTGGCCACTGATGATAATGACCCAAAATTTATTACCATAATTGTCTGGGTGGGGAATCAAATGGTTACAAACATACTAGACCTGTGTCTCAGAATAGCAGAGTGGTTAAGCTGTGAGTCTGAAGTTAAGCAAAACTGGATATAGACCCAGTCCTGTCATGAACTTTCAACATTTGATCCACACCCTACTGGCTCTTCAAGTAGGATTCACAGAAGTCAGCCTTGGATTTTCAGGAATCTTTAAATATTCTCCTATAAGGATTGTCAGACTGTATATATTTCTGCCTATGGCTTTGGTCAAATTATTTAATCATTCTGAGTCTTAATTTCTATATTACCAAAAGAGAGATGATAAACCTGCCTCAGAAAGCTATTTTAAGGATTAAATGAAAATATGTCTGTGTAATTCTTAGCACCACACCTAAAGCACGGTACACTCACACATTAGCCAATAATGTACAGCCAAGTATTGTGTGTGTATTTGGTAAGCATGGATTCTAAGAGAGAACTCCATGTAACAGCAATTAAAGAAAATACCATCACCAGATGGTCAATATCGAAATCAGATTGATTCTATTCTTTGCAGCCAAAGATGAAGAAGTTCTATACAGTTGGCCAAAACAAGACCGGGAGCTGACTGTGGCACATATAATGAATTCCTTATTGCCAAATTCAAACTTGGCAGTTTGAAGAAAGTAGGGGAAACCACTAGACCATTCAGGTATGACCTAACTCAAATCCCTTATACAGTGGAAGTGACATATAGTTTCAAGGGATTAGATCTGATAGAGTCCCTGAAGAAATATGGACAGAGGTTCATGACATTGTACAGGAGGCAGGGATCAAGACCATCCCCAAGGAAAAGAAACACCAAAAGGCAAAATGGTGGTCTGAGGAGGTCTTACAAATAACTCTGAATAGAAGAGAAGGAAAAGGCAAAGGAGAAAAGGAAAAATATACCCATTTGAATGCAGAGTTCCAAGGAATAGCAAGGAGAAATAAGAAAATCTTCCTCAGCAATCGATGCAAACAAATAGAGAAAAACAATAAAATGGGAAAGATTAGAGATCTCTTCAAGAAGATTAGAGGTACCAAGGGAACATTTCAAGCAAAGATAGGCACAGTAAAGAACAGAAATGGTATGGACCTAACAGAAACAGAAGATATTAAGAAGAAGTGGCAAGAATACACAGAAGAACTAATCAAAAAAGATCTTCATGACCCAGGTAATCATGATGGTGTGATCACTCACCACTCACCTAGAGTCAGACATCCTGGAATGCCAAGTCAAGTGGGCCTTAGGAAGCATCACTATAAACAAAGCTAGTGGAGGTGATGGAATTCCATCTGAGCTGTTTCAAATCCTAAAAGATGAAGCTGTGAAAGTGCTGCACTCAATATGCCAGCAAATTTGGAAAACTCAGCAGTGGCCACAGGACTGGAAAAGGTCCGTTTTCATTCCAATCCCAAAGAAAGACAATGCCAAAGAATGCTCAAACTACCGCACAATTGCACTCATCTCACACTCTAGTAAAGTAATGCTCAAAATTCTCTAAGCCAGGCTTCAACAGTACATGAACCATGAACTTCCAGATGTTCAAGCTGGATTTAGAAAAGGCAGAGGAACCAGAGATCAAATTGCCAACATCCGTTGGATCATCGATAAAGCAAGAGAGTTCCAGAAAAACATCTATTTCTGCTTTATTGACTGTGCCAGAGCCATTGACTGTTTGGACCACAACAAACTATGGAAAATTCCTCAAGAGATGGGAATACCAGACCACCTGACCTGCCTCTTGAGAAATCTGTATGCAGGTCAGGAACCAACAGTTAGAAGTGGACATGGAACAACAGACTGATTCCGAATTGGGAAAGGAGTACGTCAGGACTGTATGTTGTCAGTCTTTTTATTTAACTTACATGCAGAGTGCATCATGAGAAACACCGGGGTGAATGCAGGACAAGCTGGAATCAGGATTTCTGGGAGAAATGTCAATAACCTCAGATACGCACATGATACTACACTTAAGCCAGAAAGCAAAGAACTAAAGAGCCTCTTGATGAAAGTGAAAGAGAAGAGTGAAAAAGCTGGCTTAAAACTGAACATTCAGAAAACTAAGATCATGGCATCTGGTCCCATCACTTCATGGGAAATAGATGGGAAAACAGTGGAAACAGTGACAGACTTTATTTTCTTGGGCTCCAAAATCACTGCGGATGGTGATTGCAGCCATGAAATTGAAAGACACTTGCTCCTTGGAAGAAAAGCTATGACCAACCTAGACAGCATATTAAATAGCAGAGATATTACTTTGCCAACAAAGGTCCGTCTAGTCAAAGCTGTGGTTTTTCCAGTAGTCATGTATGGATGTGAGAGTTGGACTATAAAGAAAGCTGAGTGCTGAAGAATTGATGCCTTTGAACTGTTGTGTCAGAGAAGACTCATGAGAGTCCCTTGAACTGCAAGGAGATCCAGTCAGTTCATCATAAAGGAAATCAGTCCTGAATATTCATTGGAAGGACTGCTGCTGAAGCTGAAACTCCAATACTTTGGCCACCTGATGCAAAGAACTGACTCATTTGAAAAGATCCTGATGCTGGGAAAGATTGAAGGCAGGAGGAGAAAGGGACGACAGAGGATGAGATGGTTGGATGGCATCACTGACTCAATGGACATGAGTTTGAGTAAACTCCAGGAGTTGGCAATGGATAGGGAGGCCTGGCATGCTGCAGTCCATTGCAGAGAGTCAGACATGACTGAGCGACTGAACTGAACTGAACTGAACCAAACCGCTGCACAGACAGAAATAGAAATGGTGAATCTTTGCCCAGGGTGTTAAATAATCACATTTAGTGGTTAAGGAAGATGAAGGAATTTGGCAACCATAGTCCTTAGTCATTTCAGCCCTTGGGGCATAAAGTTTGGAATGATCTAGAAACCAAAAGTCTGGAGTCTCCAAGTTATGTGACTTAAGGAAATCTCAGATTCTCAGAACCTCAATTCTTCTCTAAAATATTGATAATATAGTCTAGCCTTCTTGGGTACACAAATAATATTCGATAAGTATTTGTTAACAATAATGAATGAATATTGTATATGAAAATACTGTTCAAATATGTTGCTTATTTGTTAGGTATTATAGCCAGATATTCATAAGATGAAAACTATGATTGGTATAAACTTTATACTTTACAGAGTTTTATACACATGGTCCCATGGCCTCTACTAGAAACCTTTCCTTCAAGATACTGAGGGCATGATTTATTACATGGAACTACTGTGGGGTTATAATTACCCTTTGTTTGAGCAGATCTAATATTTCTCAGGAGAACTTTTGCTGACTCAGCACTGTTGCTACTCACTTGGAACATTCTCCTCATTTACCAATGGTTCTTACTCCTGCTTCCAGATTGGCTAACTTAGCACAGGCTCTAAATTAGCAAATTGCACCCACATACTCTACAGGGAGTGTGGTCTCAAACTCATTCCTGCTCTACAGCTTCCAAAATTTTGACTAAAGGAAAATTTATGAAGTATTACAGAAGAATAGATAACCTATCTCTTCCTCT